TGGTATCCTGTGGGTGGAGACCAGAAATGGAGCTAGATTTTCTGTAACGCACCCGATGGCCCCTGCCACAAAGAACCATCCATCCCAAATTGTCCCTGGTGCTGAGGTGGAGAACGCTGGATGGTCTGTTCACTCACAGACATCAGACCGCGTGCTACGCATGGGAGTAGCAGGGGGAATAAAGACCAACGAGAAGATGCCTTTTAACTGAAGGACAGTTCACGTTAAAACTCACTTCCCGAAGTCGACTATGACTTTCCTCGGTGAAGTTTTCCCATGGTTAGGACTTAATTTGGCCTGTTTATATTTGTCGTCTTTATCTGACCCCGGCACTTAATTGCTTATATGATGCTAGCTTGTGCTTATGTGATGCAAATTTCCTACTTGTGGCTATGCGGTGTTATCTTCTGTGTGCAGCTTAACATAATTTTATGGGACATCATGAGAGCTAAAGCACATGTCAATTGGAGCAACTATTTTATTTCATTATTTTTTTTGTTACTTTTTTAATGTTTATTTTTATTTGAGAAAGAGAGAGAGAGCACAAGTGGGGGAGGGCCAGAGAGAGAGGGAAACACAGAATCCGAAACAGGCTCCAGGCTCCGAGCTGTCAGCACAGAGCCTGATGTGGGGCTCAAACTCATGAGCCGTGAGATCATGACCTGAGCCGAAGTCAGACGCTTCACTGACTGAGACCCCCCCTGGGCGCCCCTGTAGCAAACTATTTTTAAAAATATGTCCCTAGGGGCACCTGGGTGGCGCAGTCGGTTAAGCGTCTGACTTCAGCCAGGTCACGATCTCGCGGTCCGTGAGTTCGAGCCCCGCGTCAGGCTCTGGGCTGATGGCTCAGAGCCTGGAGCCTGTTTCCGATTCTGTGTCTCCCTCTCTCTCTGCCCCTCCCCCGTTCATGCTCTGTCTCTCTCTGTCCCAAAAATAAATAAACGTTGAAAAAAAAATAAAAAAAAAATATGTCCCTAGATGTCAGCCTTTCCTTGTTTGTTTGTATTGTCTGTGGGCAAAAACATTATTGAAATTTGGTGTGTAAGGCTTATCTGCTCATATCTCTCTCTGTCTGCAGATTCTAAGAAATTTTATTGGATTTCTCTAATTTGAGTGACCCCTTCCAAGAACAGACTCCAGAAAAAGTATTTAATATTAGGAATGAGCACATGTAGAGACATTTATTGACATCAGATCCTATCACAGCAGGCACAGAACACCTGTGGCTTGGGGACCTCTGCGGGACTGCATGGGGACACAGATGGCACGTGACGTGTCACAAAGGCACCCCTGGGTTTTTGGGGCAAATACAACACGTACACAAACACTGTCCTAGAAGGCATAATCTCAGAAGCATCACAGGAGAGATTGTTTAACATTTATTTATTTTTGAGAGAGAGAGAGAGTCAGAAAGAGGGAGACAGAGAATCCAAAGCAGTTTCGGTGCAGGGACTTCCCGACGCTCAAACTCAAGAACCGTGAGATGATGACCTGAGCCGAAATCAAGAGTCAGAGGCTTGACCGACTGAGTCACCAGGCGCCCCACCAGTGGTGGGTTTTGAAGAAAGGTAGGAAATCAACAGAGAACATAGTAAAGGCAGATGGGCAGGCCTTCCTGTGGAAGGGGTTGGCCAAGCCAACGCCCAGGAGCGTGAAAACCAGGTCATGGTCTCAGTTACCGGTTTTCCACCATCACACCTGTCTGACCATATTGTTGGATGCCCAGAGATGTACTCTTCCTTTGTGTGCTTTTTTTCTTTCTTTTTTTTTTTTTTTTTTGTCATCGGATCAAGGCACTCATACATCCAGGGGCAACAGACCATCAACTTGGTGGTGGTCCCCTGTAACGTGGATGTTGCCAGCACAGAGGCAGTGAGCGTGGCTCGGGAGGTGGACCCTGATGGAGACAGGGCCAGAGGTAGGAAGAAAGAACCTAACTTCCAGAAGATGGGAAACAAGGGGGGAGACTTCTTATATATTTAGAAGGTCCCTTAATGCAGCACCGTTAGAGACAAGAGCTCTTCCCAGGAGAAGCTCCATGGGCTCAGGATGCATTCACACCCTGTGGATGGGTATCTCCGCTCACAGGGTTAGAGGTGTGGCCAGAATTTGGGGGTTCCTCACCCTTCTTCCTCTGCCCCTCATTTGCATTCACAAACCATCCTGGATGGGGTGGGGACGAGAACTACCTTATCTGCTATCCCACAATGGTCTGGAAAGGAGAAAGTGACTGGCCCTTCAGATCTGCCTCGCTACAGGTAAAGTTCTTGGGACCCATTGGTGCATGGAAAGCACCTCTATAAGGTCTCAGCGAACATTCTACTGGGCCGATGTTGGAATATGAGGGTCTGCAGAATGTATATTCAAGCAGAATTCGTAGGCAGCTGGGGTCTCCTAAATTTCTTAAAAAAAAAAAAAAATAGTTGCCTTGGAAGGCGTTACAGGGAACTTGGTTTAAGAGCACACAGTCTCGTTTGAGGCCTTGTTCTACCACTTTCTGGCTACATATCCTTGGGTAATATATTGAACCTCTCCTGGCCTCGGTCTCCTCATCCATGAAATGGTACTCCCAGTAAGTACCTATGTGCTGGCTTGTTGGAAGGATTCCATGAAGAAATACTGTACACGATGGTACTTAGGTCTGTGCACATAGTATTTTCTCAACAAACGGTTGCTGCGATGTTTTTAAATTTGCAATATTACCATTCAACACCCCTTCTCCACCAACCATCCCACCTACCCGTCGAGTTGACCTGCCTGGAACTTTGCAGGTCATTTGCCTTGACTGAACGCACACTCGTCATATAACCGCCTTTCCCGTTTCTTCCCACATAGATGCCTGGTTTTCCAGTAAGGACAGAAATAAACAGTAGGGGCAAACCCCTCAAGTATAACGTTTCACCACGCGCTGGACCACGCTTGCGCCCTGTTAGCTGTTGACTTCTCCAAGCATCACAAACGCACTGAGCCAGAGAGAACACTCAGGCTTTGGGTCATCAGTCATCGTAGGTCAACCTTCTTTCTCTCCTCTCAATCCTAAGTCGTGAAGGGTGCTTTACTGATGGCCACAGTAGGTAGTATCATCGGTCTGGGAGGGAGATCTATCTGGATATCAAAATCTTTGTAGAAGTGGGGTGGGGTGGGGCACTTGGGACTTAATGGACGAGTACAGAGTTTTAGGTCTGCAAGATGAAAAAAATTCTGGTGGGATGGTCACACAACAATGAGAGTACACTTTAAAGTGGCTACGGCGGTAACGTGTATGTGATGCCTGTTTTATCACAATTTTTTTAATAGGAAGCTAAATGGATTATCTATACAGTACTTCCAAAAGGGTGAAAACGAACACATTTGGTGACTAATAGAGTGGTGGTTTATATAATGCCAAGTTTCAAAAAGAGCTGTGAGTCAGTATATTTGCAAACTCTCCACCAGACTGGTTCCCCACCCGTCCATCACTAACTGCACACTGTCTACACAGCCAGCTCCAGCTCGACTCCTGTCGCCACCATGGCACAGCGATGGCACTTGTTAGGGTCACCAGTGCCCTCCATGCTGACAAACATGTGGTCACTTCTCCGTCCCCATCTTTCTCGACCTCGGCCAACGTGGCTGACCGTATTCCCTCCTTCCTGAAATCTTTCCTTCCTTTGCTGTAACACACAGCCTGCTGGTTTCTGGCTCACCATTCTCCCTCGGTCTCCTCCTTCACTGGCCACTGGAGGTCACATTCTTAGTCTCCTGGTCTGGTTGCTTCTTCAGTGCTCTGATCCCTAAAGTCGGAAAGCCAAAACTTGGCTCTGAGATCCTCCCTCCGTCAACACGTGCTCTTCAGGCAAGCTTATCAGGTGAGCTCATCTCTATCAGCCGGCAACTCCCAGATCTAAATTTGTGACCCTTCCCTTTTCCTAGACTTGACATTTCCAGTTGGATGTCTGTCAAAGGTCTCCAATCTAGTGCGACCAAAACATAGCTCCTGATACCCCACCCTGCCTCAGTCCTCCTCCTTCCCAAGGCTTCTCCCCCTATTCCCAGCACCACATCTGCCTGCCCAGTTCTAGAACGAAATCTAAGAGTCACACTTGATTCCTCCTTCCCCTGCTTCCATTTCTGATTCACCTGGAGTCCAGATGACTCTGTCCCCAAAACCAAGACCACATCTGTCCACCACGCTCCATCACCACGTAGGCCAGGCCCCCTTCCTCTCTTGCCTGGACTACTCAAGCATCCTCCTGCTGGCCTCCTGGCTCTCATCTTGCCCTAAGTACACCCTCCACTGACCTTTGAACAGGTAAATGAAGTCACGCCCTACCCTAATGCGTCCACGCCACGTACACGAACCCTAGGCTCCTTTCCTGGACGACAAACCCTCCTGTGACCTGGCTCCATCCGCCTCTGTGCGCATGGTTCCCTTCCACTCTGCCTTTGTCACCACCCTTCAGTGTAGCTGTGAGCCGGAGGGCCTGGGATGTTCTTTCTCCTTCCTCACAGGGCTGGGTGTGCAGATCTCAGCCCGAACGCTACCCTCCCAGAGGCCTTCCGTCCACCTAGCCCAGCACCGCACCACCCACCCCCACCTACACTCATTTGCCGGCACATGACCGGATGTCACTTCTCTGCGTAATGCTTCTCAATAGTGTTACCATCAAGGTATGTTTCTTTATTTCTCGCAAATCACGAGACTAATGTATCTGGCTTTTACCCGCTGGAAGGTGACAGGGTAGTCACACAACAGGGACTCTGCAGTCTTGTTCACTGCCGCTTCCTCAATTAAAGTAGCGTGCTTAATAAGCATCTTTCAATTCCATATGAATGTGCAAGGTATGCAGGAAGGAGTTAATTTAAAAAGAGGAAAAAAAAAAACCTTAAAGCATCTAAAAACAGGTGACCATTCCCTTCTCCGTGGCGCAATAGTTGGGCTATTAGATGATGCTTAGAGCCCGCCGCAGGGCTCGAACTCCCAAAGGGTGAGATCCTGACCTGAGCTGGGATATGGAGTCTGTGGCTCATCCAAGAGCCACCCAGGCACCCCCTAGCGTGAATTCTGATAGCAAGTCTCACTCTATTATTTTCCCACTTTTTCTCAGGATAAAGGACAGGGATGTAGGCATTCCTGAATGATTGCTGGCTCCCAGGAGGGGCTTCCCCAGGTTTTCTGCCTCCTCTCCCGCTGGAGGGTCCTCTCCTTTCCTTTGGGAAGTGCAGGCGTACATTCAGAGATGTCGGCTCTGTTAGTAACAGGAAGGACAACTTCTGCCAATAGGAAGGTAAAACAGAGAGACAGACATTCAGCTGCTTAGAGGCCAGGAAGGTTTCAGGAAATGATAGGCCAGATGGCCAGACTTAACCACAAATTAAAAACAAGGACAAAAATAGCAGAAGATGACGTTCGGTTCCCAACATAAACAAACAAACAAACAGAAACATACAGTGGCCATTTGATGCCCCAGGAATCGAAAGAAATACTCAGAATTCAAAGCTTTCGATCCAACCCAAGTGGGAGGGTATGTGGGGGCAGCGGGGAGACAGGGAGGCCGGGAGGACAATGTCAAAGGAGGCACCCACAGGAGGAAGGCAGCGTGAGTCTGTCACAGGAGACACCTGAGAGGGGCACCGACCTTCTGCACAGCAGGGACTGAGCCCTTGCGGGCAATCGGTGGGCGTCGGTCAGTAATGATGTGCGCTGCCTGGTGTCTGGAACCCAGCAGGTGCCCGGGAACGTTTGTTCGATAAATCCCACAAGGCAATTAATGAATTGCATAGTGCAAGAACAAATAAACACGCAGATAAGAGGGGTGGCGATGGAACGCACCGAGAGGGTGTCAGGCGCGGGGCCATCGCAACAGAAGGCTTCGCTGGTCCTGGCCAAAGAAGGATCCCAGAGCCTCGCAGCCTTCAAGTATATTTGAGGAGAAAATGGAACATTCCACTGCCTTTCGCTAACCATCTCACAGGAATCCCGACCAAAGCAGATGTAGCGGGCAAGGCACCGAAAAAGTTGTCGTGAGTGTGGTGCGAAATATCACACGTCCCGTCTCAAGGGTTAAAGGATAGCAACGTGCGGAGCCGGCAGGAGATCCGATCACGAACAAGCTGACGTTGGCGGAGGCAATGAAGGAAGAAATGTTCTTCCAGACACATCGGTATTTCAGGTGACATTCTTCAGGACGGTCCTAGAAAAGAACTCCATGGGAGCCAGCCCTGCCTTCCGGAACCGGCCAAGGTAAGGTTACCAAGTGATAGAGATAAAATCATACAAGTTTTATAGTCACGCCAGGTCTGGGGTGGGGCCCAAGAATTTATGTTTCTATCAAGTTCCCAGGTGAGGCCAATGTTACTGGTGCAGGGACCACACTTTGAAAACCACCACTCAAGGTCTTTGGGAAAGTCAAGTCTTGGATGAGCAAATGCATTGAAATGGTCGGTCATCGTGCGTCCGGGTGTAAATCCTGAGGGCCCAGGTGCTGGGGACTCACTGCTGACGTGAGAAGCATTCAGAGCGGTGTCGGAAAAATGAGCCCCAGCGGTCCTCCCTGAGTTCGCGCAAATAACAAATACTCTGCAGCCAGACTGCCTGGTGTGTGGCCCTGGGCAAGTCACGTAACCTCTCTGGGCCTTTACCATCAATCGTTTTCTGATGAAATACATTCACATTTGTAAAGCCCTTAGAATTGTGCCCGTCACTTAGAAAACAGCATGTACATTTTTTAAAATTTAATTTTATTGGGGTAAGAACACTTAACGTGGGGTCTACCCTCTTAACAAAAATTGTTTAATATTTATTTATTTTGGGGAGACAGAGTGCAAGCAGGGGAGGGGCAGAGAGAGACAGAGATACAGAATCTGAGGCAGTCACAGAGCCCGACGCGGGGCTCGAACCCACAAAGCGCAGGATCATGACCTGGGCTGAAGTCAGACGCTTAACCGACTGGGCCACCCAGGCGCCCCTTAACAAATTTTTAAGTGTGCAATACAGTCTTGTTAACTACAGGCACGATGTTGTATGGCAACGTCTAGACCTATTCATCTTGCATAACTGAAATGTCACACCTGTTGATTAGCAACTGCCTGTTTCCCCTCCCCCAACATCTGGCAACCCTCATTCTACCCCCTGGTTCGGTGAGTTTGGCTTGTTTAAATGGCTCGTGGAAGTGGGATCGTCCTGTCTTCGTCCTTCTGTAGCTGGCTTATTTCACTCAGCCCAACATCCTCAAGGTACATCTATGCTGTCACATGCTGCAGAATCTCCTTCTTTGCAAAAGCCAAATCCTATTCCTTTGTGTGTATTTTCTTTATCCATTCATCCACCTATGGGCACTTAGGTTGTTTCCACATCTTGTGATGGGGCCAGCATCCTCAAAGGAGTGCTAATATCTCTTTGAGATCCTGATTTAAACTACTTTGGATAAATACCCAGAAGTGGGATCGCTGGATCCTATGGTAGCTCCATATTTCATTTTTTTGAGGAACATCTCTATGGCTTTCCACGGTGGCCGCATTATTTTGCATTGCCACCAACAGTGTACAAGGGTTCTAATTTTCCCACGTCCTTGCTCACACTTGTGTGGTTTGTTTGTTTTTTTTTTTTTTAATTTTTTTTTCATCGTTTATTTATTTTTGGGACAGAGAGAGACAGAGCATGAACGGGGGAGGGGCAGAGAGAGAGGGAGACACAGAATCGGAAACAGGCTCCAGGCTCTGAGCCATCAGCCCAGAGCCTGACGCGGGGCTCGAACTCACGGACCGCGAGATCGTGACCTGGCTGAAGTCGGACGCTTAACCGACTGCGCCACCCAGGCGCCCCTTGTGTGGTTTGTTTTAAATGTTGATATTTATTTGTTTTTGAGAGAGGGTCAGGGGCAGAGGGAGCGCGAGGGAGAATCCCAGGCCGGTTCCACACCGTCAGCACAGAGCCCAGCATAGGGCTCGATCCCACGAACCACGAGATCATGACCCATCGGCCATTTGTATGTCTTCTTTGAAGAAATCTCTATTCAAGTATTGGGCCCAGGTTTGATTGGGTTTTTGGGATTTTATTGTTGTCATCGTTGTTAAGTTGTGGGAGCTCTTTAAGTATTTTGGAAACTAGCCCCTTATCAGTTATATGGTTTGACATATCTTCTCCCGTTCTGTAGGTTGCTTTTGCCTTTGTTCGTTGTCTCCAGTGCTGTGGAGAAGCTTTTCCACTTCCACTAAGCTGTAGTCCAGCTTATCTGTTTTTGCTTTGGTGGCCAGTGCTTTTGGTATTATATCCATGAAATAATTTCTAAGACCAATATCGTGAAGATTTCAGCCTATGTTTTCTTGTAGGAGTTTTACCATCTCACGTCTTACATTCAAGCCTTTGATCAATTTTCAGCTGACTTTTGTGTATAGTGTAAGTTGCATTCTTTTGCATGTAGATCTCCAGTTTTCCACCATCATTTGGTGAAGAGACTATCCTTTCCCCGTGGTGTATTCTTGAACACCCCCCCCCCCGCCCCCGCCCCGCCACCAAAAACCAGCTAACTGCATGTGTGTGGGTTTATTTCTGGGCTCACTGTTCTGATCCATTGTTTGGGCCCACTCTGTAATTAGCAACTGTCGCCCTAATGCACTACCTGGCTTTTCTGAAGGCACGTGTCATCCTGGGGAGGTGAGCTTACCGACCCCCTTATAAAGCCCAGAATTGGCAAAATGATCACTCACATAGGTTGTTGGCCTTAGAAATAAAATAGTTATTTCTCCAGCAAAAATGAATTTATTTGGGAATGACAGAGAATTGCAATTTGGGGGGTAAAAAGCCATGGCAAAACCATAGGCAAGTCCCACAAACAAAGGAGAAGAATTTTATTTTATACAGAAGAAGGAGAAAGTTGGGTTGTTTTGAACTCAGTCCATCGGAGAAAAGCACGCGTTCAGCGTGCTGACGGCTTTTCCCTGGCTGAGCTGCAGGGGTGGTTGGTCGCTTGTAGGGGATGCTGCGCGTCTCTTCCTGTTGGGGCCTACCGTTGATGATTCCTGTTGAGGGGTCCTCTGCCGGGTCTGTAAGGGACACTTCTTGGACAGTGGTATGGCGGGAGAGCTCCCCCTTCTGGCTTCCCGACTCCCTTGCAGCAAGGCTTCCCTGAGCATTAACACCAGGGTCCCTCGTGAATGCCCTTGTGCTCCGTCTTGTTTCCGAGCTCTCCTGGGAGGAAGGAAAGGCCACAGTGCCCCGTCTGGCAGGAAGACTTACCCATGGGCTCACGTTGCCTTGTCAGTGTGAGTCAACGGGTTGAGTTTCAACGGGTTGAGTTGCAAGTTGCAAAAGTTACCGCCTACCCAAGGCACTCCGTCCTGAGGTGGTTGAGACACCCCACTGAGCTGCCCACACAAGCCAAGAAACAAGCACGTTCTGAAAACCAAATCGCTCGTGGCCAGGGGCTCACAGGGGAGCTTCCGAAACTGGGAAGTAACAACTGCCTAATGTCGAAACGCAGAGCGGATCAATCTGGGAAGCAAGAAGGGAAGGAAGAAAACCATAAACCATTTAGGAGGGCAAAAGGAATGAACACTGACTCAGAAGACGTATCCTTTTGCAACAGGTTCACACTTTGTCGACCTTGACAGTGAAACAGCCAGTTCTTTTCCCAGCCTGTCAGACAAAAGCAACGAATTCTTCTGAGCCAGGAAACATGTACTCCCAAGAACGTTGAGTTGGAAGAAAGAAGCCAGTGGCTCTCCAACTGCAATGTGCACAAGAATCACCTGGGGGCGACTGGGCGGCTCAGTCGGTTAAGCACCAGCTCTGGCTCAGGTTATGATCTGAGTTCGAGCCCCGCGTCGGGCTCTGGGCTGATGGCTCGGAGCCTGGAGCCTGTTTCGGATTCTGTGTCTCCCTCTCTCTCTGCTCCTCCCCTGCTCATGCTCTGTCTCTGTCACTCAAAAATTAGTAAACACTGAAAAAATTTAAAAAAAAAGAATCACCTGGAAAGTTTATTTAAATTCAGATTCCTGGGTCCCAATCCAAGTTTCTGGGTCAATAAATCGGGGGGATGAGGGGGCAATGAGTTTGCCCTTCTAACTTCCCAGTGATCCAGGGAACATACCTTGAGGAGCCCCAACTCTAGTGGGATTCCCCTCAGTTCACAGAAGAGGGCTTCGAAAGACGTATCCCTGTCTAAAAGACACAACCTTGTCAAACTGACAAAAACCTTGGTGTTTTGCAAAAAGACGTTGCATTTTGATAGCCGTTTTTGATAGTACATTTCTCAATATTTAAATCGTCTGCATTCAAACTTTCATTTTACATTTGTGATATTTTAAGTTAATTTTTAAAAATTCATAACGATTATGATAATGATGATTTGAAGGATCGGGAAACAATCTCATACATTTCCGACTAGAGATTCAAACTGCCCCTCCCCCCACCAAAGCACCTGTGAGACCTTATGACTTCCTGGTGTCATCCAACGTCATCCGCATTTTACGAGGCCTCGGTACGTAATCCACAAACTGCCTCTAGACCCCAACACACTCCTCCCGCCTGGGTCGGGGACCTCATTCACCGAGGCAGAGGCTGAGCCCGCTGGGCACTCAGGCATCCGTGTCCACCTGCACGGGCTGTGGAGGCGGTGAGCTGGGTGTGCCCTGGGACCCTCCACCACTGACTCGCTCCGTGACGGTATCTGGCAATTAGCCTCTCTGGGCCTTAGATTACTCTCTTGTAAAACAGAGAAGCAACCAAGCCACGTGCTTTGTCCTGCAGTTGGGGGGGGGGGGGCTTAACTGAGATGTGGAGGGTGCTTGGCCCAAAGACAACCCTCTGTGGTGCCTCTCTGTGTCCTTCCTTCTCCTCCCCTTCATTATCATCGCCATCGTTGATTGGTTAGGACTGTACCCTGCCTGCCACCAATATCCACCAATATCCCCTACCAAAGCGCCGTTTATCAGTTTATAACACTCAAATTATCACTGACAGAGCATTTTCGTAAAGAAAGCTTACGTTATTTTCAAGTGTACTTGTTCTCTAAATACAAAGCGCGAAGCCAAACCCAAGCCCGGCCGCTTCTTGGCACTTCCCCACTCCAGTGACATAACAAAACTGCACACCGGGTCATTCGAGCTGTATTGCATGCAAAGCCATCCTTGGGCTCTTTAACAGGTGTCCATCTTAAACATTTTTTACAAATGTTTGTTTATTTTGAGACAGAAGGTGGAGACGAGAGAGAGAGAGAGAGAGGGAGAAAGAGAATCCCAAGCAGGCTCCACACTGTCAGCGCAGAGGCCAACACGGGGCTCGATCTCACGAATCCGCGAGATCATAACCTGAGCCCATGTCAAGCATTGGACACTTAACCAGCTGAGCCACCCAGGCGCCACAACAGGGGCCCGTCTTAGCGAACTTCGCACAAAAATAGAAATTCCGGATCCCCTCGAATGCTGTCACAGGGGATTCGGCCCACGTATTGAAGAAATCTGTCGGCCAATTCCATCAAGCTGCGGAGTGTCATCGTTCGCTATTGTTTTGTTCAGAAATCACTCCCGTCGTTAGAAAAGCAAATAAGGGAGAGCCACCGGAGGGCGACAGAGAGGCCGCACCTGTGTGGAGGCGGCATCCCCAGCAATGAAGCGGATAAAGTGTTCTTTCTGATCCGTGAGGATTCCCGGGGACTCCAGGTGACAGGCACAGAAACTGGCTTCTCTGTCACCCGCTCCCTTTAGACGGCCGCATCCTTCCTGGTGGCCCAGCACATCCTGAGATGGCCCTCCTCGCGTCCCTGCCTGTGGCGTGCTGGCCGCCCCGTTACGCAGGAGCTCCCCTCCATTTGTCTTGCCTGAGAGACGGGATGGTTGGGTGGCCGATGGGATCCTCTCGCGGCCCCCAGCCCAACACCACACGCTGCTGCCCCAGGCAGGTCCCAGCTCTTTAATGCGGTTACGGCTCAGATCGATGACTCTCTCTCATTTTCGGAAAATTAAGCTGTTTAATCAGGACCTCGGAAAGTGAGGAGAAGAAGTCATAAGGCAGAACGAGACCTGCTTAGACAACAAAATCAGGGAGGAGTTTAAAAACTGGGTTCTCACACTTACAGCCAATACCCCAAACGGCAAGTCCTAGGACGAGGCTCTGCCTAAACACGGTGTCATGTTTACCAAGACCAGAGGGTACTTCTGACACGTAAGAAGCGTGCAGACAGATGAACGTGCCCACGCAAGAGACCACGGGGCCCCTTAGGCTTTCCTACAACTGCTTCCCAGCCACCAACGTGGAGCCCCGCCCGCACCAGGAGACAGTTCCATCGCCTCCAACTTTCTCTGGCTTCTTCGTTTTGAGGCTGGACAGTTCGACTTACTTCTCTTCCCTTCTTGTCTTCACGCCTAGTGCACGACCGACCGAAGAGGTCGGTGGTTTCGTGTGTGCTGCCGAAGCGAGCACACGGGTCAGTGGTTTGATAAGAGTGTCCTTGCTTTGCCTGGGGAAGTTCCAACTTTCATTCTGCTGTAGCCCTGATGCCAGGAGGGTGTTCGTGTGTGTGTGTGTGTGTCTGTGTGTGCGCGCGCGCGCGCGCGCGTGCGCGCATGCGTGCATTGTATCTTTGTTTTAGCACGTAATAAAACTAGCACTCTTCGTGTCTGGATGTGTTCTCGGGAGATCTGTAAGTGCTGTAATAATAGGTTTCTGTTTCCATTGAACGAATCCAGTGCTTTCTACGAGTTACAAACACTCAGCTTCTCTCTCAGGGTGAATACCCTCAACTGAAATGTATTTTCATAGAATAACAATTTGGTTTCCTAAAAGTCAGTTTTCCTCGGGGCGTCTGGGTGGCTCAGTCAGTTAGGCATCCAACTCTTGATCTCAGCTCAGGTCTTGATCTCAGGGTCGTGAGTTCAAGCCCCACATTGGGCTCCACGCTGGGCATGCAATCTACTTGAAAATTAAAAAAAAAAAAAGTCAGTTTTCTTTAAATTAGCATTATCAGATCATAAATTTTTTTCTCATTATGAAAAAAACCTCCGTTCGGGGCACCTGGGTGGCTCAGTCTGCTAAGTGTCCGACTTCAGCTCAGGTCGTGATCTCATGGTTTGTGGGTTCGAGCCCCGTGTGTTGACAGCTCAGAGCCTGGAGCCTGCTTTGGTTTCTGTGTTTCCCTCTCTCTCTGTCCCTCCCCTGCTCATGCTCTCTCTCTCTCTCTCTCTCTCTCAAAAATAAACATTAAAAAATTTTTTAGAGAAAGAAAAGAAAAAAAATCTCCATTTAGAAACATTGCCTTAGGGTACAGTGGGTAAGCCAAACTTAAATTTAAAAAAGTTCCTATCTTTAAAATGTCTGGGGAATTTATAGAATTCACCACAGTGGTTTGTTTGGTATTGCAGTTAGAAATATTATCCACGGGGGCACCTGGGTGGCTCAGTCGGTTGAGCGTCCAACTTTGGCTCAGGTCATGATCTCCCGGTTCGTGAGTTCGAGCCCCTTGTCAGGCTCTGTGCTGACAGCTCGGGGCCTGGAGCCTGCTTCAGAGGCTGTGTATGTCTCTCTCTCTGCCCCTTACCTGCTCACACTCTGTATCTCTATCTCTCAAAAATAAATAAATATTAAAAAAATTTTTTTCAAAGTTGAGGCCAAGGTTATAGCCGCAGGCTTGCTGGGCCGGCCGCTCTAGGAGCACCTGCCGTTTTGCACCTGCTCAGGACTTAGTTCGTGCTCCCTGGGAGAGATGGAAGGAAGCACCCGGCCGAGTTGTCATTTCTGCATTATCTTCTGCAGCACAGGATGATGTGGGCTTAGTGCTGATCCTCTGAATACGTGACTGTGCCTGCTGTCTGACCCGTCCTTTGAATCTGTATCTACTACAAAGACAGAATTGTCCACTGGTCCTATTCCAAAATCTTTGTAAGTTGGACTTAAACATACTGCCACAGCTGTGTGGGTTCCCCCTTCAACAACTCTGATCCCCCTCTCAGTAATGGGGTGCCGGGGATGTCCAGCTGCCTTCTCCACTCTAGATAAAAACCCTCTTCTGCCCAGGCCTGGGTCGGTGGGTCTGAATCTCATTCCACAACTCAGGTGAGCAGGAAAAAGGATTTCTGCCATTTTCCCACAACAACTGACTGTTTTACCTCTTTGGCCAGTTGGTAAAAATGATACCTGACTTATGACCGCTCCACCGTTGCTAGGGGCTGAGTCTGAGCCCCCGGGTGCCTCACCAGGGGTTGGGGGACAGGCCTGGTCCTGGATCATGATTTCTCCAGGCTGGAGAGGAGGCCTTACGGCCGTGGAGAGGGCAGGACCTGCAAGGGACAGCAGCACGGGCTGCCGAGGGCCTTCTTAAAGCCACCATGTAAAATCCCAGGCCTTCTCTGACTTAAATTGTGTTTAATTCTGTCTCAACACAATAGTGCTTCCTACGATGTTTAAACAAGGGCGAGAAAAGAAGGAACATGTGTACCTTTCTTATCCAACCAGGACAAAGTTGAAGACGTGAAAACGAAACAAGCAGAGGCAGCAGAAAATCGGGCCCGGCTTCAGTTTGGAATATGAAACAGCTGGCTTTGTCAAGACCAGATTTACCGCGTGGTTCTGAACAGAGTCCGGGAAGAGGTTTTTAACCCGGTGGGCAATCCTGTGCGGGACCTTGAGCAGAAACGGTCTTTCTCCAATGATCGGTCTTTGACTTCACCCATCACTGAGATCGAGTTGTGCGCGTGAGTGCGTATTTCTTGGTGAGCGTGTAGGTCAGTGCCACGGGTGTTTGCCCGGCAGATGCCGGGCACTCTGATTGACAGTTGTGTCACTGAGAGAAGGTGGGAGGGGCCACTACTGTGTATTAAATCCCTTCTGCGGTGGTAAATACTCACATATTATCTATGTTATCGTTTAACAGTAACCCTGTCAAGGGACTTTTAATTAATTCGGGAATCAGGTTTTTATTTTCTTTATTAAAAATCTTTTTAAGTTCATGTATATTTGAGAGAGAGAGCGAGAATGAGAGAGAGCAGGGGAGGGGCAGAGAGAGAGGGAAAGGGAGAGAGATTCGCAAGCAGGCTCTGAGCAGTCAGCACAGAGCCCCACACAGGGGCTTGAACTCACGAACTGTGAGATCATGGCCTGAGCTGAAGTCTGAAGCTTAACTGACAGCCCCCCCCCAGGTGCCCCGGAATCAGGTTTTTGATGCGGCAAAGCATGTACTCAAAACCAGTTCTGACCGCAGAGTTCTTTCTGTTTCGTGCTATGCATCTATTACCAAGCCACTATTATTGCAATTCAGCAAAATACAACCAGCACTAACTTTACTCGTTACAATTTGGTTTTCCTTGAGGTTCAGAAGGCACTCAGGTCTGGAGCAGCCTCGAACTCACTGAGTCCACAAGACAGGAAGGAAAAACCCTTTCCCTAGATCCCGTAGCCCAGTCACCTCCAAGGTTTCCAACCCTCCGCCCACGCGGGGTGCATAGAACGGAAGGTGGCTTTTAACCCGCAAAGAAGCCCAACTCTGGAAGCCTTTTCTTCATCAGAATAGAAAGTAGTTATCCAGATGTGGGGCCCAGCTGCCAGGCAAACTGGGCATCCCTGTGAAGAGAGGGAACGAGGTGAGCCTTGAAGCACATCCTGATCAGCTCCCAGGAGGGGCCAGGGGATCAAGGGGCCCAGAGGTCTCTCTGGGAGGTGGAGCAGGCGTGGGGGTGGAGGAGGGGGAGGAGCTCCTGTGAAGGCTGGGATGTCGAGAACGTGCTGTGGGTTTGCGCTTACAGGGTGGGTTCATAGTGCCAGAGGGAATGCCTGATCCTAGAGTTCGGGGCAGCACAGAGAGCGCCTTGCCGTGGTTGGATGCTGACCACTGGAGTGGGGTGGACGGGACCACCGGGACCTCTCGAGGCAACTATCCACTCATCCGAGAATCCCAAGGCTTCCCTGCAAACACAGGCCGAGACCCCTCCGGCTGACCCTTCTTCCTCCCTCTTCCAGGAAACCAGCAAACGTCTGGCCAAGCAGATCCCATTCGTAATTCAATATTTCATGCTGCAGCGAACGGGCACTCCCTTACAGAAAGCCACGATGCAGATACTACAGGAGACAGACCACTATTCCCGGCTGCTTCAGGAACCCAGCGACACCTCCGCCGAGAGGAGATTCCTTAAGGAGAAAACTGACCGGCTCACGCTCTCTGGAAATCATCCAGTTAAAGGGGGCAGATGCACAAAAGGGCAGCAATGCTTTGGGGTGTTTCCCGCCGTGCATTCACCGTGAGATGGCCCACGAAGTGGCTCCGCATCTGGGACCGCACTCTGTCGCCTTCCGTGTCCACCTTCGCTGGATTGCACGCAGCACCAGAGTTTGGGTCTGACAGGCACACACGCCCGGGGCGGTCCCCTCTGCCGGGAGAGATGGCTCTCCGGGCCTTGGGCCCCACAGCCCCCCAGTTACGGGGTTCTCGAATACTGCTCTCTTTCTGTGTTAATTCATCTTCCCCACCATCAGATTATAAGACCCCAGAGCGGGGAGGTCCGTATCATATTCTTCTTTGGTATTTCCGGGATCTTACATGGCACTCTTTACCTAGTAGCTGCTTAATGAATGACATCTTATTGAACAAATGCATGATGAGGGTGACCGGCTGCTATGGCTTAGCTCCAGACTTTGGTCGTTGGAGACGGTGTCCCTGAGCTGGTCACTCTCAGAGGAATCTGGCTGTGCCACCTGCTCCCCATTGTTGACCACGGTCGTGTTTACAACCCCCAGGACGTGATACTGATTGTCATCTGTCCTGTTTCTCTGGCTGCGATGAGCTCCCATTGCTATGTGAAGCCCTGAAGAGAAGTTTTATAAGGAAAAAATATTTTTTTTAATGTTTACTTATTTTTGAGAGGGACAGAGGGTGAGCAGGGGAGGGGCAGAGAGAGAGGGAGACACGGACTCCGAAGCAGGCTCCAGGCTCTGAGCTGTCAGCACAGAGCCCGACGCGGGGCTCGAACCCACGAACCGCGAGATCGTGACCTGAGCCCAAGTCGGACGTTCAACCGTCTGAGCCCCCCCCAGGCGTGCAGAAAAATACATGTTTTAAAAAAATGTCGAGCTTCCTACCAGTGGTCATCTCTAGATTGGAGGATTACGGCTAATTTTATTTTCTTCATCACGCTAAGCAATAGTTAATTTCAGGGGGATTTTAGGAACATTAAGTGAAACCATTTCTACAAGCTACCTGTCCCCCAAATCCAGCGACTCTTCCCGCTCATCAAACACCTCTCTTCTGTACTCTCTAGGTCCGTAGAGGCTCTGGGGGTTAGCCCTTGAACGTGGCTTCTGAAGAGGTAGCCCACCACACCTGGCTTCCCAGCAGGTCGGAGCGTGGGGCTGAGTGCGGGGCCCACGTTCCCATCGGAATAAGCTCACGGCTACCACAAGCACCTCAAGACCTCCGCAGCTTACCACGACCCGGCCGTGCCCCTCGCTCACATCACGGATGTCCTAGGCCGACTGGCAGGGTTCTGAGCCACACTGTCCCTGGGCCACCAGCATCCTTCTACGTCATGGCCCCACCATCGCCAGCTCCTTCGAGTCCCCACCAGACCCTCTGCATCTGACCTGCAGGTGAGGAACGGGAGAGTGTAGAGGATTTCTGGAAGTTTCCAGGAGCCAGGCTCGGGAGCTGTGTGCCTCGCTTCCTCCCACATTCCAGAGGCAGGCCTCAGGCCTAGGGCCTTGCCGGACTGCAAGGCAGGCTGGGAAATGTGGTCCAGCTGAGCCGACAGAAGCCAGGGGAGACCGGCTTTGCCTGTTGCCACACCCGCCCCTACATCCGCGGGGAACCTTCGTTGCACAAAACACGGGAGTAAAGGAACAGGCGTGTTCTCTGCTCTTCCTTCTTATCCCGGGGTCACTCACTCACTCACACACACAGGCACACATATGCACACACGTACGTTTCCTCCTGCAATGCGCCTGTGGGCTGGCGTTTTGTTCCTAACGAGTGCGGAAATAGAGGAAGACCACCCAAGGGGGAAGGAGCAAAGGTATTTAGCGAGAGCTGATGACGACCAGGAGGAGGAGGTCAGCCACCGCCGCTCGGGGGTTTGGGCAAAGCCTCACGGGCAGGGAGAAGGCTCCGTGTGAGCCCTGGGTCGGGGCTGAGGGCAGCGAGCTAGAAGCAGACGTCCCCTGTGGCCGGTTAGGCGTATATATTCGGCTTTCTCTGGTGGGTCCTAAATCAGAAATAGGGACACAATTTGAGAGAAACTGTCAGTTATTCAGCAAACCCTGGTCACCTGGGGGCAAGTCGCTGTAGAGGTTATTGCTTCACTTTCGAGATCGTGGGAAGGAAATAGTCTGCCTTCCGCAAGTCTGACTTCCAGCAGGCTGGCCCCCAGGGCCAGTTACGGCAGAGAACAGATTGTTGCAAGAGCTCTGTTTTTACGGATGGTCTGGCCGCCGTGTGAGTATAGTCCGTCTCTCAGACTTTTCCCTTCTCTGGCCCTGGTGCTGCAGGACAGCCCCGGCAGGTGACACGTGCTGTAACCCCAGTCTGGGCTGACGGTGCACGGATCCACAACCCCGTCTTTACACCCCCCCCCCATGCTCCTCACAGGGGCGGCAGTGAGGGGGGTGGTGTTCCCTTCCATCAGCGCCACAGTGATGAGGCCAAAGGGTATTCATGAAAAGGTATCAACCCGGTGGGATAAACAAATCCGGATTCCCCCATCTTGTTTCTACCCCTGGTTGGGGGGAGGGCCTCCAATGCCCCTTTGGTCGTGCTCAGTGACATGGTGTGTGGGTTATCTATTGTTACCTAACAAATTATCCCAAGTTTTACCCCCAAAATTTCCTCTCTCGGTTTCTTCGGGTCAGGAATTCACATGGGCCCTGGCAGGTGCCTCTGGCTGTGCGTGTGTGTGGGGGATGGGGGGGGTGGGGGGAGGTCTCACAGAGTTGGTCCAGCTTCTGTGGTGGGCTGCATAACGGCCCCCCAAATAGCCAGGCTCTAATCCCTGGTGCCGGCGAAAGCGACGTGGACCCGTACAAAATCTCTGCCCATGAGAGGCTCCATGATGAGGCTCCATTTCACTTTCTAGCCAATGAGCTTTCAAACCAGGCCAGCATCTGTAATTGTTTCACAAGCAGCCGTTCATCACATCCTGTAGAACGACTGGCCTTCGACCACAAAACTGCTGATAGAACTTTAGGAAGAGCAAAGAGTTAACTAATGCAGACCAGGAACAGTTTGTGTTGACAGCACCCCACTTTCTAGACTATGAAACACCGAGCCTGGTTGCAGGCAGAGAAGAATCGATTAGACGGTGATTGAAAACTGCTCAGATGGTTGGCACGGAATTAACAGGTTTTCTCTCTTCTCTGGTTTATCTGAATAGGTGATTCTTCTTCTTTCTCACAAACCCCCCTTGCTTTCCCTACCCAAGCGGGACACTTTTTCTGGTCACTCTGGGATCGGTGCTCTCGCAGGTGTCATTCTGAGACCCCAGATAAGGCTCTTGTTTTCTCTTAGTGTCACCCTCCTTCCTCTGGTGTCAGGTTCTTTAAATGGAGAAAGGGGTCTTTGTAGGTCTGGGGACACTACAGACTGAGACTGGAAGGTGACCCTGGGTTGTCCCCGTGGGCCCCAGATGCCATCACAGGTGTCCTCATGAGAGGGAGGCAAAGCAAAGAAGGAGCAGACTGGAAGGGACCACCCTGCCAGCTCTGGAGGTGGAGGAAGGGGCCACGAGCTAAAGAGAGCAAGGAACGCAGCTCTCGAAGCTGGACAAGGCGAGCAGAAAGATTCTGTCCAGCGTCTCTGGAGGGAGCATGACCCCGTCAACACCATAACCTTAGCCCCGTGAAACTGGCCTCGGACTTGTGGCCTCAGAATTGTAAGAGAGTTTCTGTTGTTGTAAGCCACTGTGTTTGTGGCAATTTGTTATAGCAGCTGCAGGAAACTGATACGGGCTCCAAGCTCACTCTCCTGTCTGTAGACAGGCCTCAGGCCCTGGGTGGCCTTTGGCCAAAGACATCGGTTCTTTGCCACGTCGCCTGCTGGGACTTTACCACAACAGGGCAACCCACATGGAAGGTCTATCGGATTATCAGGATCGGGATGGCATTTTGTAAATAGAATTGAATGGCTTTTTTTTTTTTTTCAAGGTTTATTTATTTTTGGGACAGAGAGAGACAGAGCATGAACGGGGGAGGGGCAGAGAGAGAGGGAGACACAGAATCGGAAACAGGCTCCAGGCTCTGAGCCATCAGCCCAGAGCCTGACGTGGGGCTCGAACTCCCGGACCGCGAGATCGTGACCTGGCTGAAGTCGGACGCTTAACCGACTGCGCCACCCAGGCGCCCCAAATGGCTTTTTTTTTTAAGGTTGCCCAAGTGAGTGTGAAGACAGGTAGTGTGGCAACGACTCTTCAATGCACGCGCCTGTTTCCATCATGGCACCTGGGGCACCTGGCACGCGGCGGATGCTGTTTCGAGGCAATGAGTGATGGCTGGCGGGTGACTGCAGTGACAACAGAAAGAACAGGATGGCTCATGAAAGCGTGGAAAGGGATTTCCATTTCTCACTAGCTGTGTGATTTGGGCCAAGAGCCCACCGCTCTGAGCCCCCATTTCCTAGCTGACTGATTTTTTTCTATAGACCATGTGTGTAAAGAAATTGGCTCGTACCTTACGGGGGCGGGAGGTCAATATCCGGGGAATGCTCCACAGCCACAAGGTGGCATTTTTAACAGAGGTATTGTGTTGGGGGTCTCTCCACTTCCTACACCATATACGGGCCACCGAAGCAAGCACCCCACTTTCTAGACTATGAAACACTGAGCCTGGTTGCAGGCAGAGGAGGAAGGAGGCGGCCTGGGGTGGAATTTGAGAATTAGGGGGAATTCTCCAGTGGTTGTGCCAATTCCCATAAGCTCCCTGGGAAAGGTCCTGGGAGGGCAGGTCACAGCGCTATTTTCTCCTTTATCTGAAAGATAAGCTTTCACAGAGCGCTGATCACCAGGCGAATGCCAGAGAAGACCGCTGGCCGTATCCCAGGAAAAGGCTAGGCCACCAGCCTTCCCGTGGCTGCAGGCTGGGTGGGCTGCACGACACCAAGCCGGGGCCCAGGGCCACCAACCAGCTCAGCTTCGCCAGACTTTTCAGTTTCTATCTCCTCTGGCTCGCAGAGGGCCGCGGAGAAGGCAAAATCGGACCCTGGCCTTAAGGACCAAATAAATAGCAACCTTGCAGGCTCCAGGTTCTCACGCTTTAACTGCAAACGAATCATCTGGAGAACCCTCTTGAAACTCAGATGGATTCAGTGATCTTGAGGTGGCCCTCGACCCTGCAGGTCTGACAAGCTTCCAGGTGAAGCCAGTGTTGCTGGGCCCTCCTTTGAGAAGCACCGATCCATGGCAAGGGTCGATGGAGGAGAAAACAAAAACGGGGCCAGGGACAACGTACCCTGGACTCCGCGCTCCGGGCCGCACAGAAGGGACGCCGCTCGGGAGCGCACTGCTCTGCCCCCGGGCAAGGACGGCGTCAGAGGTGGGCGCAGCGACCTCTGCGGTTCGGGGCGCCGCCCCAACCCCAACCTCCTCTCCGTTACCGTCCCCTCCCCATCTCCCTCCCCCGGCACCGCCAGAACCGTGTCCAGGCTGCGCTGGGCCTTCGAGAGCCACCCCGAGGCACCCCAGCCGGAGAGCCTCCACCGGTCCCACCCCGTCCGCCCGCCCGTCCGCCCCGCCTCCGGCTCGGTTCCCTCCGCCTCCCTCACCGCCCTCACCGCCTGGGTTTCCACTCCCTCCCGGTCTCTGCTTTCCTCCCCTGGCACCACCCCTCCGCCTCCGGCACCGCCCCTCCGCCTCCGGCTCCGCCCCTCCGCCTCCGGCACCGCCCCTCCGCCTCAGACTCCGCCCCTTCACCTCCGGCGCCGCGCCTCCGGCTCCACCCCCCAGGCACCGCGCCCCCGGCTCCGCCCCTCCGCCTCCGGCACCGCCCACCCCCGCCTCTCTGTCTCTCTCTTTCCAGTTCCCGGAATCTTAGAGTCTCCCTCTTCACTTCCTTTTCTGGGAACCAAGAAGGAGAAAAGAAACTGAAACTGAACCTGAGTTGACTGGGAAACGGAAGATGAGGGAGGAGATGCTCAGGGTAATTCGCCAGAGGTCGTCTGAGGACCGGGTCTGCAAGATCAGAGCCGGTTCTCAGACTCACCATTCATTCGTTTATTAGTTCATTCTAGAAACATCCGTTGAAATGCTATGTGCCACGAACTCTGCTAGGTCCCAAGGACAACAGCAACGCTTCGGGCCCGGTGCTGCCCCGTGGACAACCTGGGGGCAGAAATGGGCGTTCACAGAGGTCAAGGCAGTGTGCTGACACTATGCTAGGTGGGTGGGTGCGGGTGGGAGGGAACAGGGGGGCTCCCGGGAAGCAAGTCCACCGGGTCTGGGGAAGGATGGCCGGAGGCTGTGACCTGGAAAGCAGCCCAGTGTGCAGGGAGGGGTAGGAGGAGGAGCGCCCCTGAGCCGAAGGAGTTCTGTGTAGTGAGCAAGGTGTTACAAGAAGCAGTGGGGGTGGGGCTGAGCCAGGTGAGGCTAGGTCTGGCACACCAAGCTGAGCAGTTGGGACTACCCCACCCACCCCCACCCCTGCAGTGGGCGACCCCGCAGCATTTAAGCAGGGTGCTGTCCACTCCCCGCAGGGAGTCGAGGACATGCACTGGATTGGAGGTAGGGGGTGATGGCGTGGAAGCTTGCCCGTTACGGCTTTCCACGAGCACCAGCTCTCCTCCGCAGGCCCGGGGCCAGGCTGGCAGCTGGAGAGAGGGCTGGACAAGGACCAGAGGGATCTGGAGCTCCCTGGGCACCCTGGGCTGCGCTGGCAGCAGGGGGTGGGGTCAGTGTGACTGTTTGCCTACTACTATGCTTCCTTGTGGATGCTGTGTTTTTGCCAGATTATTTTTGGGCACAGGAGACAATAGTAAGAGGGCAGGGCCAGCTGTGCCCATGGTGGGAGCCCCAGGAGCTGAGGGCGACCCAGGCTTGAAAGGAGCTCCCAGGGGCAGCTGCATAGACAGAGAACATCACAGTTGGGACTTGGCAGGGCAGGAGAATGTCTCCGGGAGCCTAGGGGTAAGGACAGGCCACCAGAATTGCCGGCCGCGTTTAGGGATGTCTGAGTAGGGTGCTGATCCTGAAGGCGAATTCTCAAAGTCTCAGGGTTTGACACTTACTTCAGAGAATGTAATCAGTGTTTCTTTGGTAGAGAAGGAATCGTCAGCGATTCAGGGGGAAGGCTGTGAGCTTCTGGAGGACAGGAGCTGGATCTTGTTGATTTTAGGATGGTGGGGGAAGATTCTAGAGCACAGGGAGTGAAACCTTAGACTGTGATCTTAGCTCTCCCACTTCCTGGCTGCTTCCTAGTTAGGGGACCCAACGGTGGCCTAATTCCTTGGTCTCTGTCTTCTCATGTGTCACATGGGAGTGATAACCATACTCCTCTCATAGGATGGTTGTGAAGGTGACATTCTCACAGGCTGACACGTAGCACATACTTCCACGGTGCACATGAGTTATTATTTTATTATTTCCGAATTTCACCCCTAACAAGCCCCTGGGCTCTTCAGGGAAGTTCATATAAGGAGCCAATTAGAAACAGCGAGGTACCAACATCTCAGACCAGGAGTCACTGGAGTCATGAGAGGGAGGCTCCTGGGAGCGTCCGGGCGCCAATGTAAGTAGCTGCTTGCACCACTGAGAGCGAGCGCGCGAGCGGCTCCTTAAATTTGGCACACCAGACACGCCACTCACCTTCGCCTAGCCCTGGCCCTGGCGTTGGCTGGTTCCACTTAGTTTTCGCTTTCGCCCATGGTGCTTTCTGATTTTATTCCTCAACAAGGGGGGCTGGGGAGAGCCTCCTGTGGTTTGAAAAAGTCGCATCCCTCCTCGCAGTGAAGTCTTGTGTCTCTGCCTGGCTGCTGTCGCTTTTCCGTGTACGGATGGCACATTCCCTCCTCCATCCTGCTCACAGCCCATCAGGAAAGGGTGTCACTCTTCCTCCTAGTGAGAAAGGCACTGAGGCCCAGAGGTGATGAGTGGCTGGACAAACGTTCCTCGCTAATTATGGGGACAGTATGTGTCTCCCAGCAGGCCACCCTGGATGGGGCTGCCGGGACCCAGCAATGGACCCTGCAGAACAAGGGGACTTCAGCCAGAGAGTTGTATTGTGGGGCCTCCTCCCCTTCTCGGGGTGAGCCACACTGAATTTGTTTCCATCTAGGCTTGCCGACCCCAGGACTTGGAGCTGGGGTGGGTTCTGGGTCTTTGGATGGAGTGGGGGCGACCCTTCCTAATCACAGTTTTGGGGAGCTTGTTGTCTGGGGACTCTGAGCTGAGCTAAGGAGAATGGAGGTAGGTGGCCAGCCCCTTCCAAAAGGATATGTCACTCTCCATCTACAGAGGGCCACTCTGGAGCCTGCTTGACCTCAGCCTCCACTTTCCACCCATTTCTATCCTGGGGATAATCAGGTGAGCCCAACTCCAGAGAGGGCTCCAGGAGGACAGGGAGGAAGATGGTGTGGGTCCGGCGAAAATGAATAAAGGGAAACTCACGGACGTGGGCTTGGCTGCTAGCTGGGGAGGTTAGGAGGGGGGGCCACCACTCCGGGTCAATGACAGGAAGAGTCATCAATCACAGACCCAGCGGAAGACTCCCCAGAGGACAGAGCCATCAGTTGGGGGAGGGCGCCTAGCGGGGAGACCCGTGTGCACCGCATCTCCTACTGGAAAGCCCCTCCCCTGCAGCTCAGCCAAGGAGAAACTGCCATCACCCCAAAGCCTGCTCTTCTCCAACAGTCTTTCGTTCGAAACAACTCCTCCCCGGGCGCCTGGATGTCTCAGTGGGTTGAGCATCAGCACTCGATCTCAGCTCAGGTCATGATCTCACGGTTCGTGATTCAAGGCACACGTTGGGCTCGGCACTGACAGCAGCAGCGTCTGCTTCAGATTCTCTCTCTCCCCCTCTCTGCTCCTCCTCTGCGCTCTCCCTCTCTCTGTCTCAAAATCAACTTAAAGTAAAGAAGTGAACATTAAAAAAACCCAAAACGTCCCAACTTCCTCCAACTTCTCCGTAAAATGACTTGCGTATGGTTTTGCCACAGCTTGCTTGTCCCAATGTGCGATTCTCTACTGTTCCCAAATAAACCCATCTTTTGGTGGTAAAATAACCTTGATTTTTAAGGTTAATAGCTGTCTGCATGGGGAAGGGGAAGTTGGCCATTGGCAGAGCGCTTGGGAATTCCTGCTGGGTCCGGAATGATCCCTGTGAACCGCTAGCAGGAATTTCAGACGCCCGATTATCAGTGCCAATTATCAGAGCGTTGGGAAGGAAGACCAGGCTTAAGGGAATGGGCGTGTCTAGGTTCAAGGCTGCATTCTGCTCCGGATGGCTCAAGGCCAGTAGGGCAGCGGCTCTCAGACTGCTCTTGGAGCGGTGGGGCGCTTCCTGGGCCCTGCACTTGAGTTTCTGGGTCAGCAGGTCTGGGCCCCAGAATCTGCATTTCCTCCCAGCTTGCAGAGACACGAGCGCGCGGGCCTGGGATGGGGCTGGGCGCGCGGAGCCCCGGGAGAAGTTGCGGCAGCCGACAGGCACCGGGCGGCGGTGGGGGGAGTGGGGAGAGGCGGTGGGGGGTGATGGGTTCGGTTTCCTTCCTGCACCAGGCGGGTCTAGCTCCCTCGCATCCCCTGAGTTTCGTTTCTCCTCGGAGGCGGGGGCGACGAGAGCCAGGGGGCGGAGCGGGCGCTGCATAAAAGCCGGGCGGCGGCGGCGGCGGCGGCGGCGGCGGCGGCGCGGCGGCGAGGGGCCCTGGCAGCTGCGCGGGGACAGGTGAGGGTCGCGTTCCTGGGTAGCAGCACCTTCTTGCAAGCTGGGGGGCTGGGGTGGGAGGGCTGGGTGCGGAGACAAGCTCTCTGGAGGCATGGGGGAGCAGAAGCTGGTCATAGTGAGGACGGTGATGATGGTGATGGTGACGGTGACAGTGACGATGATGATGGAAATACTGGCTGGGCTCAGAGGCCGCTTGATTCTGCTTCTGACCAACAGGCTGCTAAGACTCCTGGATGACTTATCAAAAACAGCCCCCACCCCCGCACCCCGAGGACTTTTCTGCTTGAGGAGGTGGGCCGGTGGAGGGGAGGGGGGCCAAGGGGGTCTCCCAGGGGGCCAGTCTCCCAAGGGGGTCTCCCAGGGGTGTGCACTGAGAAAGTTTCACGTTCAGTGCTGGGCGCCCTCCAAGCCCACCCCGAAGGTGGCCCATGGCTTGTATCAGTTTATATTTCCTGCTATCGACCTTAAAAATAAAACAGTGTGTTCTTTGATCAGCAAACGTGGGCTTCTTCAGGAATAGCAGCGATCTGGAATCCGGGACGCGCAAGCCATGGCAAAACCATAGGCAAGTCCAACAAACAAAGGACAGGGACAGTGCTTTCTGGAAGGGGCTTGGGGAGGGTTGTTTTGAACCTAGTCCACCAGAGAAATGCAAGAGGTCATGGCGATGGCAGGTTCTTGGCGGCTGAGTGGCAGGGGTGGCGGTTTCCCGTAGGAGATGACGTACCCACCTGTCCCTTGGGGGGGGGGGGCGGCTATAATTGATGATTGTCTCCGGTCGGGGTCTGTTACTGACAATTCTTCCTATGATTGAGGAGAAATGGTACAGCCTCCCCCTTCTGGCCTCCCCACTACTTTAGTAATTTTATTG